GACCCACGGCCAAATTTCTGCCGCCTCTTCCTTCCCTTGAGACATAAATAGGAGGAAAAGACAGTTGCAGGAAGAGCAGCAGCTGCAGCAGCATCAGCAGCAACACCAGCAGCAACAGAAACAGCGACACTAGTAGCAACGGCAAGGGCAGCATAGACGACCTGCATCGCAGGACGCAGAATGACCGCTCACATATGCAAACAACCCAAATGCTGTACACGGGTTTCTCATCAGGCTTTCAAGGGTTTATGGTGTAGGCTTTAGGGTTTTCTGCCGTTGGCATTATGGCTTATGCTTTAGAAGCGGCAATAACAGGAGCAGCAGTAGCAGCAGCAACACGAGAGCTTCCTTCGATGGGTTTGTTGTATATAAGTGAGGTGTATGAGGATGTGAGCAGTTGCACCTTCTGCGGTAAGTGCAACAGAAATGGTGCAGAGTTTTGTTTGATTAGAACAGCAGCAGATGGCTGCTTCTTAGCAACATGGATACACCTTTTTTTTGTTGTCTTTGGTGGTGCTGCTGCACTTATTGCTGCAGCAGCACCCCTTAGCGGGTTCAGTTGTTCGCTGCGGTTGCTGCTGCTTCTGCTGCTGACCATAGCCCCGTTGGTGCTTTCAACATTGCTGCTGTAGTGAGTACTGCTGCCACTCCTCGTGTTGCTACAGTTACAAACATCTTGGTTTCTACTGGTTGTTGCAATCTTGCCACTTTTGGGCTTAGGGTTTAGGGTTTGTAGTCGGGTGACCCCGGGCTCATCATCATTGAGGTGTCTTTACAGCGACACTTCATGCTGAGGTACTTGGACATACTTTCTTTTGTATGTTTTGACTGTCTTCCTATCTTTCTTCATTTATCTGTCGTACTGTTTGCTCGTCTGTCGTCGGACTATAACAGCGGGGCCAGGAGGGAAGGAGGAATGCAACAAAATGAAAGCCTACTTAGATGGAGAAGTACACTCGCATGCAACTAGAGACAAACCCAAGGGGAAACCGAACAAAAACCAGCAGCAACGCAGACAAACACAAACAACAGCCGCACAGAAGAGGGTGGTTGTACACGCGATGACGAACAGAATTGGTTGTGTTATGCAGTTTCCATTGGATGTTTGAAACTCAAATAGATATATGCAGCAATGGTATTATTGAAGCAACCGGGAATAGGTACAGAGGTATACAACAATTGGGTTACTGAGGAGACCCAAATTAAATGCGAAGGTAAAACGATAGTTGTATTATCCCGACAACTCGAAGCAAATGCGAATATAAAACAAAAACAGATATTATTACATAAAGGCGAATTTTGTATCGACGAAAGCAAACAAACACCGCTTGTGTTGTAGGGCCGGGAGTGGGCGTTGCGTGCAACGCCGTTCCTCTGCCTCTCCTTCGGTTTGGCTCGTTATTATATTACTAT